ATGTAATTTAAATACATCGAGGATTGGAAAAAAAACTGTAAAAAAGGGTATGGAGGTCTGAAGGTTAATTATTGTCAGATTAGGTTATGTTCGAGCAAATGGGGTGATATAAATGATAACGACTGTACCGAATGTTCGGTATACCAATGAAATAGCAGTCGACGTGTATCCAGAGTGATACTGGACAGTTCAGTGACAGTAAACAGCATTCGGACATAGGCCAGCGGAACAGCCGGAACAAATTTTCCAGTTAACGCCAGGATTATTAATCCGCGTGATCAGCGAAACCTAGCGAGCAACGGTAGGCAAGTAGTTAGCCGGGAAATCGAAATTGATGGCGTTTGTCCGCGCAACGCGATTCAACAATAGGAGCCAAACGAATCGGCAATGCATGGCCGACGTTCCCCAAGGGCCCGGACGAAATAATTATTACGCCGTAGCAACGTTAAATACACTCCCGCAGGATTCAACGCTATCCGCTATGGGCAACGGTTCCATAGGTAGAAACATTAACGTATAGGGATCGATCGAATGGACGAGTGGTCATTTGCTGGATATTAACTATAGCCCTTAATGGAAGCCACGGGAGAAAGAAGGAAGGGAAAGAAACAAAAGGGACTTAACGAGGATACCACCTAATAGCACTATGGCTTTCTGGAATACGCAGAAATTCTTTGACCACCATGGTAGAAAACGTGCACGTTCCACTTTCCTGCGTACCAGCCACGGGGATCTAGAGAGCAATCAACCAGAAACATTAAATCCGCTAGATCGACTGTTCAATTTAATTGAGAAAAATTTTTAACCAACATTGGCTCTAGGTATACGCATTAGATTATAAGGCGCAGGATGCAAGTGAGAAAATGGCTGCCGTAAGCGAAATCTTTAATGACTGCGATGCACGGTCATGAATCTGCTCTGTCAGGTGCGAATAACGTCAGCTTCTTGCGATGGTTTACCAACGCACTTACGGATTACGATGGGCCCTCCCACGAGGGTAATATAATTTTTATCTCGATCACTTCGATTCAGCGACTTTATAAGAACAGAGGGAAACAGAAGGAGGATGGATAGACAGATGAGACATCTTACTGTTATAGGGACGTTACAGTGCGAAACGCGGGCAAATGCCATTGAGTGGAATAGAATGAAAAATTATACGGTCAAATGGAAAAAATCTATTCTGAGTGAATTCGCCGATTGATTTTAAAGGTAGCTGATCTCTACGTAATTGGATTTAGAAACATTTTATCAATGCCAACGAGCGATACCATCTAGACAGTATTCTTTATACGCGAAACGAGGAGTGTCGGTAATACAGATTTCTATCCATCCATATGATGCCTATATCACTATAGAACTCAAGTGCCTCGATAGCTTTGCTAACGATTTACCTGTCCTATTCTTAGAAGACATTTCAATCTGGATATATCGTAATTTCCATGATTACGTCGCGAGTGGAACGTCGATGTAACGATTAGCGTTTGCTTTGATGTCAATAAATTTGGATTCGCCACGGTGGAAAATGAAAATAAAATCTATTCCAAAATTAGAAGCTAATTAAGAGCTCATTAAGTGTTCTAATTGAAATTTTAAAGATCCACCTCTTTTAGACAAAATCCGTGGCGGTGGAAAGATAGGAATTAAGAGGTAATTAAGTGCTTTAAAAATATGCAACAGCCAGATTTAGATCTGACCCCCTTATCAAAAAACCAACCTTATTTCGGAATGGTAATGGTAAGACATGTGTGGTTTTTGCATAAGGAGGTGACTTCCAAATCTAGCTGTTGCGCATCTTTGAACCACTTAATTTCCTCTTTAACCCAACGTTTTATTTGTTTAAATTTTGTATTGTTTATGTTTCGGCGGTTCCAACTTTTTTTTCGAGCTAGCACCAGATTTTTATTAAAAAGGATGGGGCTCTAAAATTTCAATTAGGGCACTTAATCAGCTCTTAAATAGCTTCTAATTTTACAATAGATTTCATTTTGATTTTCCACTGTGTCGATTCCAGCTTTATTGACGTCTTGCTTTGATTATTTTTTAACAGCAACCCATAGACCGGATATTACAGAAACTACCAACCCTTTTTCTCGAACCAATCACTCTGTAATGTTTATAATAAAAATCTATATATATATATATATATATGCCCACCAGCAGGATTTTTCAATAACCTCGTCGATATACCCTGCATGCAAAATCGGAATCAGCACAGAACATCGGCGATTACGCGCTTTCCGATTTGAAACGATTAAAAATTAACGTTAATGCCGTAAGCTACGATTTAGGATAAACCGAGGCTTTCAATGGTTCGATAAATAGATAATTGCGTACTCGTCTTTATATAAACCGACAGAACGTACGGGAATATAGAAACAAATTAACGTGCCGAAGTTTGAAATCAGACGAAAGTATATATACATATATGCACTTAATAAATTTCAGATATATTACTCAAAGGATGCAAATAAACATAATAATTTTGCACATAAGATTTTGACAACATATAATTATGACAAAGAACTTTTTATCAACCAAAATAAATTTTCGATATTTTTTTGTCTCCTAGCAACCACAAAATGTCTGGTAGATACTTACGAAAATATCATGAAACACCGTATCACCCCTTAAGCCATACAAATTTAATTACCAAATTATGAGCGCGTGACCATGGCGCGTCGCTCGATTTAAAAATACTCAATGGCTTGCACCTAATGTGTCCTAATGTGCTGTTAAAATAATGAGTTTTGCAGTAACGGGTACCTATAACCAAAAGACGTATATTACGAAGGTGGCGGCGATTACAGCGCACCACGTGGTGGAAGACTTTACTCTCAACATTCGTCTCGGCGAAACTCTATGCATACGAATATAATTCCCAGGCATGAGCGGTCACGGCGTAAAGTAAATTATCGCAATTCCGTGAGTCTCATAGCAGGTTGAGTATCCCGACCTCTCCTAAGAATTCACTACGATAAACGGGCTACTGAATAAAATAAAATCGCAAGAGGAGCACAGTCCCTGTAGTAAAATATATCAAGTATAACACACTAATAAAAAAATATATACTATATTATAGTATACACACACAAGAATTTGATTTCTAATAGAAACACAGCAACGATTCATTAAATTAATATACGACCCAAATTCCTACAGACTGTCCCTGGGAATTCTCTTAAAAATTCATAAATTCGTATTCCAATTCAAAACCAAACAAACGTCAGGTACATAGCGACGAAATTAAAGCATGTAAATGATATACCGTACGATTACCCCCCCCCCCTCCGCCATCTATTCGAAAAGGTCGGACGCTTTAAAACCACGTACCAATTATATCACGCAAACAGAAAGATAGCACGAGTAGATTACTCGTATAACTTAAAACAATGTAGAAATAAATTAAAAAAAGTTTTCATCCCTGTCGGAAATTTTTCTCTCAATTTTTTTCCCCGTGCTCCAATATGACCGACTGACCTTTCCATCCAGGTACGTATGTAGGTATTGGCAATTACAGTGATACTGAGAATTTATATCAAAGAATACATATATCGCGTGCGATGGAAAGAGCCGACCTTTATTACAGGAAAGGCTGAGCAAACACGTGAGCTGCAAACCGCAAAGTACGGAACTCACTCTGTATATCGAGTGTAACACAATCGACGGCGTCGTTAACGTCCACGACGGTCACAGCGGATGAGAAAATTGCAAACGCGTACAGCCCACTACATCGTACGGTATAATATCATCACGATGACAGTGAAGCTATGTCACCCGATATACCGCTCTTGCAAATTTATTCTCGTATTGCAGAGTCGCGACGTCCGACAGCTTCTAATAATTATCTGACATCCCTATATAACCGACAATCACAACTGCAACGTGTACTACACGTGGTGCGTTCAGCTTATTGTTAGTCTCAATGACGTAGACAGCTATTCGTAATCTCGTAAGTGGAATACGAAGAAAATAAGGAAAAGAGGAAAAATGGATTGTGTCAAAAATATTGACTTCGTTTTTCTCCACTTAGAAGCGTGCTTAGTTGTATTTAATACGTAATTATGAAAATGACATTGCAAAAAGCCAAAACCTTTCGAAGGACATTACATCCGGTGTCGATTTCCAGTGACACGTTATAGGATAGAATATACAATGGAGAGCTGTTATCTTTCAATTTACCTCTTTCTCAGAAAGCTGTTACCATTGAATCCACTGGATTGAATTGAAACAGACAAGTGGGATGCTTGTATAGTTGGTTAACTAGGTATCTTGGTTAGTTGACTGGGAAGACGGAATTTTGTTCTGTACAACTGTCAACTGGGAGAGACCTATTTTTTTTATAAAAGCAATTTGCATACAGAGCAGAAAGTGCCATTGTGCTAGGAAATTGAAGAGCTCGTGTCAATTCGTATTCCGAGTTATTATTTCTTAATGTGACGTAACGCAGACGACTAACGAAGTCGTCCATTCGAAGAAGATTATCGACAACATATACCGGGGAACGATTACACGGTTAAGAAGAATCATCGAAGCTATCAATTTTACTCGTTTAAATATCCCACCCGAAGCGGAAGTGACGTTAAGCAAATTAAACGTGAATGAAACCATATTCATATATGTAAATAATATTAGGATATGCAAACAGATACTGATGAGTGTCATTTGTATTGAAACCTCAATATTCATTTAGGTAAATAGCCACCAACGATTAAACTAGTTATACCTTGAGATATTCAATGAAATGTACATTCTTTTGATGACAGTCAATAATTTGGATGTCTGATTATTAAAATTTGTTTTAATTCTTCGATCCAACAGCAACGATAAAAGATTTAATTTTTGGTTTAGCAAGCATTTGCTAGGTATAGCTGAGTGGTGCCTATACTGATTTGGAAACTTCTTACGGTATGAGACATACGGATTCTATTACGTTATATTAGGTTGGGTTAAATTGGGTATACATAGATAAGTCAAGCATGCGCAACATTGCGACTCACCTCTTTCACTTTGTCGCGACGTTGCCGTGTGATCGGGTCCTTGTCTTCTCCACCTACGATTTTTGGAAGCTTTTCACCAGGTGCTGGTGGCACGGTTATCAGGGTTTCTTCGATTCTTGCGTTAACCACTAAAGACGAGGAACTGCTCATTTGCACTCGCGAATCACCAGCTATATCCGGTTTCTCCAGAGTTTTTTGATGTTGATATTCCTCGTTGATTTTCGCCTGAAATTTGCCAGGGAGGAATATTTCGGTCGCCGATTCTTACTTCCGATACGTATTTTTTTAAATTATTACGGAATATGACTCAGTTGACTAAACATATCGTTAAGTCCAGGTGTGAAATGCCTTATTATATTCAACTGGTGTGTTGTAAAGAGCCATGAACTTCACGGATAACGTTCCCGATAATGGATGGCGATACTATAGCAATATTAATGGTACTATCTGTCTTATTTGTGTGCTAATCAAAATTAATTATTTACTATCAATAATTATCAAAATGATATTTAAGGACTTGTAAAAGATCTTACTCAATTTCAATATATCGTGTAAATAAAAGTGTCACTAAACTTTCACAGGACATGTACACACAACATATTCTGAATTCAACTAAACTTTATATTTCTTTACCCAAGTAAACAGAAGTAAATATATGTGTGTATAATTCATTCTACAACGAATGTCTGTCTGCCACAAGTTATCAGTGTACTTATATTTTGATATGAGTACATAAGGAACATGTGTCCGTCTGGAGGATGTAAACAAACAGAACAATGCTCCTCTGGTATTACATGCTAACTGACATTCGAGACAAGAAACGATAATACATTTAGTTTGTCTACCGATTAATTAAGAAACCCAAGAGTATACGTAATATGATAAAAATAGAACCGCATAACGGGAATTAATTAAATATGAACTGCAAGAGTACAGAGTATAGGAAGTAGGGATCGTAAACAATAAATGTTAAAGTAATATTTGTTGACACTATTTGGCGACTGAAAAATTCCTCGGACCTGAAGTCTTTGCGAATCATCGTTAGGATGATTGTAGCGGGTAACTGCATAACCGTGGCGATGTAGACCGACGGGGATGGCGTTTGGATGGCCACCAAGTTCCTTACGTCCCAGAGCATGCGGCGGCGCCGGTATCAGCAATTCCGGGCCCGCTTTTTGCATATATTGGTACACCCTGTAAACACTGTTCACTGCCGCGCCTCCGGTACCATTACGAAAATCTGGCAGGAAAAAGAATGCGCCAAAACACACGATACCAAACGTCAAAAACACTAGAAATATGAGATACTTCTCGCGTGGCCTAAAAGAACGACGCGAAAACAGTGGTACAGGGACGCCGTTTACAAAACGCTGATACGTCGGCAAAATTCCCGTGGACGTCATTTCGCGGAAGCTCGTTTTCTCGCGACACTCACGATCCGAACACCCGTGTTGTTTCCCTTTTCTAGCCGTCACACGCCATTACGGTCCTACGCAAGCACCACCTGCGTGTAGGACTCAGCATTTCACGCGGACATCAGCGCCATCCCTTTCACAACGGAGTATACGACAAACGCAAAAAGTCTTGCTGAAAGACGAGTATAACCTTTAGATGAGAGATCGACCAATGGGCAAGATATATATTTATAATACCATCATACGGATCCTCCGGATATTTCAATATTTCATAGATGTTTTAGGATATTGTACTACCTGGAACAAATGAAACATACAAATGGGGGTCTGTATTTCAGGTATAGAGGTATTTGTATTATATTGTGGACAAGAACCCAGATAAGTATCATAAATGACTTTACCAGCATTCGAAAATGAATTTGACTTACCTGTTTCAATAATGTTCCATTACTCGTTGTATTGTAGGACCTTTGTGAATCTGTAGATGGCAGCAGGCATTCATAAATTGATAATGGCTATTATACTTTATTTTGACCATATTGTTAAGGTTTTATAATCTCAATGATAAACAATGAGTATCTTGCACTTATTGAAATAGTGGAGAAAGTTAATTTTTTTCTATGTTAATCTATGTTTTCTATGTAAATCAGTCATTTTCAGAATACCTTTTACGTTCGTTAAAACGTTTTTAAATGATTCGAGTACTTATGTGTTTGAAAATGAGCTGAAATGATTGAAAGCATCGTTATTTCTCAATTTATTGAATGCATTTAATCGAGCCATACAATGCCCTTACTACTTTAGTGTGTGCTCTACAATTTATAAAACTTTACGAGAAACAAGACATTTTACGTTATCGGCAAGCAGTTCGTTTTCTGATTCAATGTAGTATGGATTGGCTTCACTTGGCTTTCTATAAGCAATTTGATGTTCAATTAGGGCAAAACTGACTATTTAGCATAATTAAACAAAGTAGTACATTTCAATGAGTGCAAAATGACATAATTTACATCTGTGTTTATTCGCATTTTGGTTTACTGTGAGTATATTCACCGTAAATATATTTTTTATGTTGCAAGAAATAAATTATAAGAAATATTATACAGGTTCAGTCCACTTCAAAATGATTAGCAAGGAAGATGTTATATCAACAATGAAACATGCGTGTGAGATATTTTAAAATTTTATATAAGATAGATTAATCAATAACTGAAATTATCATATATTTTAATGATTATTACTTTTATTCTAGCTTGCACGATATTAGTGTTGATGTGCATTTTCATAGCGTATACCTTTTTTGAGCGTATCTTTTATTTCTTGAATGAAATCGTTAATACAACAAAGAGGGATAATTTTGGTACAATACTGGTCCAAGCATTTGGTTTCAATACAGTTTCACTGATAGTCATTGTTACTTGTGGTACATCTCTTATGGTATGAAACTCTTAAAATATTTCTTGTTACATTCTGTTAGTTAAAGTTGATTAATATTCACTTATTTATTAGGCTGTTGTATACAACATAGGATGTCCATTAAACTACATTTGGGAAAATGGACAAAGGGTCTTTATACCATCTTTAATAATATCCTTTTTCCTTTTGCGGATTATAAAAATAGTAAGGATGTGAACGTTACATGTTGCCAAAGTTTTTGTATGGATCTAAATGATCACAAATATATAAATAAATTTTGTACATAGGATGAGTGCGACCTATACACATCTTTGAAGATTCGATCCCTGGGTGGACTGGATTATGGAAGTGGTTTAGCTTACAGCTATTTCTATGGGTATTTAAATATCATCCTATCCTCTATGGGAAGCGAATACAAAGGTTTTTCTTTTTTATTTTCTTTTGTCAATCAAAATAATTTGACTCAAATCTTAACTTAATAATATTATTATTATTACTTACAGGCTTGCAACATAATATTGAGCTTTTTGAAGCTCGTGAAGGTGTGCCCATGCCGATAAAGAAATTATTTATATTAATTCCTGCATCAGCACATATTCCATCTGATCTTAGACAAGTTTCACATGATTGGATGGAGAGTACGAAAGTTAGTTGCTTATTCATAAAACAAATTCTCAATTACATTCATTTGTGACATAAAATTTGGACTTTATACATTCAGAAAGTCGTTTCGGCTGAGATAAACCGTGCTGGCGTAAAAAATCGAGTATATTCCAATACAGTGTACAAAATTCATCCTGAAGGAGAAGGAAGCGGTCATCGACCAATTTATGTCGTTATTGAAGGTGCTACGCCAATGCTGACTTTTTATGAAGTATCTCAACACGCACATAAAGATTCGGGTAAGTTTCGATCTACACAAAAAGAGATTCAACTATCTGAAGAGTATTGCTGACTATCTCAAAAGTAATGTGACAGTAGTTTGTTCCATAAAATTTATTTTGATTTTCATTTAAATTTAATTTTATCTCTCTTTCAGATACATATAGAAGATTTACAAAAGAAGTCGTAGAGTTGTTTTACAAAACTCTTCAGACATTGTTGAACACTAATCCAGATTACCAGGATTCCTGTGAATTGGTATACTATGAAGGTATTATTTTTTATTTTATATGTCGCCAAAACAAAACGTAATTAATCGTGATAAAAATAATCTGTTATTTCTTTATGATATAGAACTGTTTGATAATAGTATACACCATTTTATAGATTACGGACCGGATGGTAAACGCGTCAATGTGGCTGAAATAATATTGGAGAGAATACGAAAGTTACTTCACAATCGTAAAACAGAGAACGAAGAAAAACTATACTTTAAAAAATTTTAAAGAATTTAAAAATTATATCGGCAAAGAAAATTTAACAGTTCTACAAAGAAGATTGCAATTCTAACTACTAATCATGTGTAACATGAGAATTTATTTCTTTTATTACACGAAGGACGAAATTTGTAAGCCTCTTTTGTAGTATAAAATACATATTTTCAAGAAAAAGCTTTTTGTACGATGATATTTTTGTGATAAAGAATAAATGGAAAAAGTAAATAAATAGTGATTTCCATTTTAATATAACAAGGATTCACTTTTTATGGCCCAAGTACCGCTTTTTCTTTCATTTTATTATAAACAATCGTTTATCATTGCTTTGTCATAATTTTATCAGTATTTCTTTTATTCATTTCAAATGACTTGACACAGAGAGCAGAATATCTCCAAACATCGAAAAAATAATTATGCTTACGCCACGCACGCATATTTCATTTATCTAACATCCTGTTATACAGTCCTATTATTTGGGATATTGTTTTTATCGTCAGTTTTTTTTCTTTTACATACTCTACATCTTCGATTCTTTCTTTTTTCCTATCCCTCAATGTCCACACATTCATACAAATAGTTATTGAAAGGAATGCACATTGAAGACAGCCCATTCTAAACGGTAGGGTTTTTCATATTTCTTCTTTTGAGTCACATAAACAAATCCATAGTTACTAACATTATTCCACAACCTAAAGAGAGTTGAAATACTATACAGTACAGTACTTCCTTCGTGCTTTACAATCATTCACTCTTTCATATTTTCATCCCTCAATCATTACACTTTCTTCTTCCTCGATTATGCGCAATCTTACGTACCATCCACCTGCACTTGACTGTGACTTCGAATTTCCATGCCATTATTTCTTAAATTTCGACTATTGCTTCTTCGTTACTTTTTTCGTAATTGAAGTGACCCCCATGATTCTCTCGCATGCACGAACATTTCTTGATTAATGGACAAATGCGGTCTCTGAAAATCCTCGTTGTGAGTACATAACGAATTACATGGAATGTAATTCCTTATGACGAGAATCTAAGGTAACTGTAACGAGTAAATTGATGAAAACTCAATAGTGTAAAGCTATATCGTACACGAAAGGAAAAATTAAGAATATTTTCCCTTCCGTGCATCGCCTTCAATTATTTTTCCCTTTCGTGTATCATCGTCTGAATTTTCAAAATCGTAAACTTCAATCTCTCGAATCATGTATTACCTACATCATAACTTTATTAATTATAAGAATGAAATTTGGGAGTTTGTGTACGGTTTGTTATATTTTTTAAAATTCCTTGATCACTACGCAGTGCGCACAGATTCTTATTTTTATCATTTGCCAGTTTAAAATAATCTAATAAATTTTACTTGACGTTAACGCCGTCCTGCATAGAATAACGCTGACGAATTTTCAGTTTATTAAATACAATTATTTCTCATAATCTGTCGCATGGATCGGACGCAATTCTGTTTTTCTCCGGTGTTTTTATTCATAATAAATACTTGCACATTAGTACACAATCAAGGATTCAGGGTATGTGTCGTGTCTTGTAAGAAACATGTACTCGCTTGGGGACAATTCTTGTTTTCTCAGAAACATTTGAATCCTTTTTAATTTTAATTTTTCACTTTTTTGTGTCTTTCTTTCTTTCCCCCGCACTACATACTTTCACCTGGAAAATTGTATCTTTTCTTCGTTCCACGTTATGAATTTCATTTTCTCATTGGGTTACTTCGGATCGTACACATTTGTATGCTTCGTCACAGCACTTAGTTTTTCATTTCGCGTCACGATTAAAAGTAATAAAGTACTTAGGAAAAACATCGAATATTTATTTTTCATACATATGTACAGTCGAGTTGTCAACCACGCTGAAGAATTTTATTCTGGCGTTTTTCGGTGGGAAATCGTAGCACTGGAGGAATATAAAAGGAAAGAAGGATTACCTTTCTTATTTTTTTTGTTTGAGAAAGTTCAGAAGGTTCTTATCGAAGTGATGGAATAAAAGGACAAAGTTGTAAAAGAAAACAATTTTCGATACATTTAACAGCCCAAATTATCATTTTTCCGCATTCTCCCTCGCGCAAGACGTTACTTCTCCCTTAGCAAGTTTTGTTCTTTGTCATGCTGGCTTCATCAAACAAGGCTTTTAATTTGTTTTCTAATCTTTTCCCCTCTTGTTATGTCTCCCTGATCCAATATCATTGAGTCTTCAATTACTCGTCACGTATTGGACGAAATTTTATTGAGGGTTCACGCTGTTCACAGAGTCAACATTATCAGACGTGTTTCTCGGTTAATTTTGACTGATAAAGAACTCAAAAAAGTACAGAAGGAAGGGGGATGGGACAGATACAAGAAAGAGAAAAAGAACAAAACAAAGAATAATGTCTCTCGCTGTAGTCTCCATTGTGTCGGAGCAGGAACAAAAAAAAAGGCGAACAACAAATGCAATTTGCATTTTGTATTCGCATGCGCGCAGCCACTCACGCAAACAAAAATTATAAGAGCGAAAAAACTGAACGGAAAGATATACAAAGTAAATGAAACCGTGTGAGATCAATGTTTCATGGGCCAAATAGATGCCCGGCGTCAAAACGCCTTTTAACCGTAAGCTTACAATCTAATTAAAACATACGATTAAATAAGTAAGTAATAGCTCGTTATTAATTGGAAGCGCATATGTAACTGTCTCCATATCGAGAGAAACGCAACGACAGTAGATTCAGGAAGTAAAAAAAAAATGCGACCGCTGACCAGATAGTCTCACGCAAGGTTTGTCGAGTCCCACAATCAATATTATGCGTATGTATGTACGTATATATATAATATATATAAAAAAAGTCAGGATGCTACGTTAAGTAAATATCACATCCTCTGCACGTTTTTCCAGAAAACGAACCAAATATTATGTCATTAATTCTGAATAATGAGTAAATAATATTCAAAGAGACTCTGTAACTCGCAAGAAGTTGGTATTACCGATAATACCGAAAAGCTTTGTGCTAGCTAACTGACAACACGTATCAGCGGAGGAAGGATTTAAGCTAATTATGAAAGAAATAATACAACAAAAAAAACATCAAATACGCGTACACGAAAAGTGTTGCGAATGCCAATTATTTGTTTAAGTACTCTTGGAAGGAACCACGTAGGCCCTCGATAAATTTTACTATTTCGATCGCTCCGTTAAATATAAAGTATAATAGGATTATTAATCGTATCATCGATACCGTTTTAAAATACATATCACAACAAATGAACATCACTTGTTACTCAATTAAGTAATTCTAATGCGAAAAATAAAAGGAAATAAACGAAAACGAAAAATATTATCGGAGGAGAAAGAGAGAGAAAGAGAAAGAAAGAGCGTTATCTTTCATTTAAAAAAAAACCAGCCTTTTTTCATTGTAATTCAACAATAACTTTCAAGTTAAATTAAAAAACAACCGAGAACAGTGTAAGCACACAATCAGGTACTTCGTTCCACGATTTGCCTTCGATATTTTTCCCACGTTAATTTTCGCATCGATAGGAAACAATTAGACTTAGAAGTATTATTAAAAAGAAAAATAGATAAAATTAAGAAAACAACCTTTCTTTTTGCACTTAGATAAGCTTTATCGTGGTTATGCAACGCGAACGACCTCGCTCATTTTTCTCTGCTCTGTATTATTTACAGCGATACTATTAGTCGCAATCACTGGATTCCGTTTTTTTTTTCATTTTCATGAAATACGGAAGAGAAACAAGAATAAAGATTCTAACGCTCGTTTAAAATGAGAGTCAAGAATACCTTAGTTAAACTTCGGTACTAAAGTATTTCCTCGCAGTGTGTTCTGATTCACATCCGATTCGCTCGATTGACTAGTCAGCCATTTTGATAAGACAACAATAAGAAAAATAAGATGAAAAGTAATTTAACATGTTCCTTAATTGTCATGAATGTCTCGTATTTACAAAATATGGGAAAAACGATGAATGTACTCTGAGTAGGTAGCAGCAAGGCGACTGTTAGTAATCATGGCGATAAGTCACGAAAAAGTATATTTAAATAAGGAAGACGGAACAGGAAGAAAATATACAAGGAATCGTATTAAAATTCAACGAGTTATCTTCTTCGCGTCTAATGAAATTTTTGCGAATTCCATCATCTGAGATATAAGTGCTCGATAAGACAAACGTTTGAATTCGTTTGAATTGTTAATGACAACATGATGTTATATAATTTTACTTTCTCCTTTAATCAAGAATAAAAATCAACAATTCGCCAAAAGAAACTAGGGAAGACCTAATTCAGAACACAAAACGTCGTAATCTCTCGTGATGCAATTTCCCATAATGGAACTTATTGAATCCCAGAAATAAACACTTTGAGAAATAAAATGAGATCTAAGAAATACTCCCAAATTTCGAAATCCTAATTGATCGCGTCATTATAGTTTCTTTTTCTTTTATCCTTTCTTTCCCTTCTGCCATTGTCCTATCCTGTGACTTTACAAAACGCATTGTCGGCTTGCTTCTCCGAATATGTATTCGCTCCCTTTGCTTTCTTTGATTGTGAATGATGATCGCATGACTTGAGAAATAGTGGCACAGTACGCCGATGACATTAAATACATTTTGTATGATGGACTAGCTTCGGATTATGACTTGAACGTAAGGTAATGTCATTAACAAGCCGTTGTAGGTTCAGGCATATGCTGTGGAAGGATTACAAAAATAAGATTTGTACCGTTCCTTTTTCTTCCCTCTCATGGATAAAATTGACAAATTCTTTAAGGAAGAATTTTACGAATACTATTCAGTGGTTTGGTTGTCTACAAAACTAATTGTAAGAATATCATGGACCAATTATTTCAAACCTATCGTAGACTATTCGCTATGAATGTCTGCAATGACTCCAATATGTGATTAAAGGAATCTCCATTCGATTTGAGAAAGACCAACCCACAGCATATAAGCATAACGAGTTAAAACTGTACTGATTCTCAAAGTGTTAGCCTTGTGTCCAGTGTTTTCTAGGATGCTCTCGAAACATGATAAGAGTGTCCTCATTATGTTCGCCTGACAATCGTGAGATACGCCTGAGAATAATTTGAGTAATTTTTCCAGCAGATTCAATATAGTCGAGTGAATTAAAAACCGTGTGGATTCGCTGCCGACATTCTAGAGGGCTATATAAACGATTGTAGAAAAGTCGAGTAAAGCACTCGAATAGCTATAGGATGATAATTTAGACGAAACCCTGTAAGGCTGATAAAGGATAAAACGACGTTCAAAATTTACTCAGGCGGTTCGCGGAGTCGCACAGTCAGGCATTTCATTTGTTTTTAAGCTTCGGTCGATGCAACGAGAGAGCTCTTTGGGGTGTACGCCGTCGCATTAGGATCCAGGTTGGACACAGTGCAACCTGGACAAGGACTTTCGTTGGCACGAATTTTTGTCCCGGATACTCTGACCTCATTATTCAGTCGTAATTTCGATGTTGATGACGTAGGTGCCGGGCCAAAGGAGTCCTGTGGCATCACTGCCAAATCCTGGGCAATTTTTGCCTTAAGAATTTCGACCTCCTTCTCCTGAGACCTTATTAAACCTATTTTTGAAAAATTAAATAAGTCCACGTGTTACGGATAATACTTGTTCATTACTAATCATATTGAAAATATTTGAGGGCACACTTACTCTCTCTGATCTCGAGTTGTCGCTTGGCCTCGCCGAGTGCTGAGAAAAGGTCCAATTTTATTCGTGTTTCTGCACTGAGACTATTTTCTAGATGTGCATTTTTATCCTGAAGCGCACTAAGTGCACCCAGGAGAATCTCAGTTTCGCCGTGATTCTCTTTGCATCGTGTTACGTCTTTCTCCAATATTAGACATCTGTCCTCCTTTGTTTTGAGATCGCGTCGCAGAGTCTTGAGATCCTGCTCCATCTGTGCCCTACGCGACTTACAGGCGTCCGTACATTCTTGCCTTACAAGAGGAGGAGGAAGTGGTGGAATAACTGATCTGGCCTCCTCCGCAGCTCTTCTCGCTCTTCTCTCGGAGGTCAAGGAAGCTTCGCAAGCATTTCGCTGTCTTCTCTCTTCAGCAATACGTCTCTCTAACGAAGACATAGTCTGTTTGTCTACCTGTCGGGCTGTTACCAAACCGTGAAGTCTGCAGAAAAGTAAGAATGAGAATTCATATCGAAATTTATAATTGAAAATCAAGATTGCCAAAGCAACATACTTGCTCTGTAACTGTTCATTATCATGCTGCAGTTGCTGAATATCTCCTTTGGCTTGTCTCTCACCATTAAGTAGACTATTTATTTGAGAACGTAACTCTTGTTCTACCTGTCGGCTAGACTGAAGATCAGACTTCAGGCGCTTCACGTCACCCTCGAGCCTGCGACACATCAGTAACCTATTTCAACGATAGTAAATTAAGAACTAGAAAATTAACACTCTAAATGTAATAATATAAATCTCCTGACTAGAAACATGAAAAGCAGCTATTAATAGAATTGTGTTAACATGATTTATATTTGAACGACCCAAAATAGACAAATATGTTATACGAACAATAATGTACCTTTGACAGTATTCATCCTGTTGCTTCTGCTGCTCGGCTATGGTATCTACTATAGCTTTGCTCTGACGATTTTTACGTTCGCGCTGACCATTCGCCGTGGTTGTCGAAGAGTCTCGATTCTCTTTCACATTGTTCCACTTTCCTCCAGCTGAACCATTGGATTGTGTCTTTACAGAATTCTGACCAGAACCTTTTACGGATTTGTCTTTCTCGATCTCATTTACGTCAAAGTCGTTCACAGAGCTGCATTTCACACAACGTACGAAAAACATATTATTATGTATTATCAAACTACAGATATAACTATGTACTGCTACATATTAAAGTGCACTGGACATCAGTGTATAAAATATTGAGATAAATCTTTAATTTAATAAAACACTAACTGTCTCATCTAAAAATATGAACATCACTCTACCAAGGTAGAACAAAAATAGTTCAAAGCTTTAAGGGAATATAAGAAAACGATAAAAGTGCATAATTTGTACTCAATTTACTGCATATACTATTTTATTGGTATGGTAATTGTGCAACTTACCCAATCCTCTCTATAAATTGAGTGTCACTGTGAGATACTGCGGTTCCATTAGTGTGCGCAAATTTCTTCTCGCTCTTTTCAGATTGCGAGGTATTTCCTATGTTATGTTTGCTATTTTGTTCTTCCTGTTGATGCTGTTGTTGTTGTTGTTGTTGTTGCTGCTGCTGCTGCTGCTGCTGTTTCTCACCTTTATCCAGGGACTTTCTGTGACCATTTTTGGTGGTGGCACATTGTGCCTGCGATACGCTTTGCGTACCGTTGTGTACACCACCGTTTTGTATGCTCGTTTCTACGGAAGCACTGCTGCCCCCTTTTTTTTTTGCAAATAGGGATATAAGTAAAATTACAGATTCTTTCACTACTGGAATACAGGAGATAAGAAAACGCTGATGACTTTGAAGAATAAATATTATATAGTATAGGTAAAAGATTAAATACAAACTACCTCTACTCTTCTCAGGGCTTGTGTTATACTGAGGATTCGGCCTGTGTGGCTGTGATTTTGTGTGCTGCTCCGATGGGGCGGAGATTATTTGGGACTGCGACTGCGATTGCGATTGCACCTGCGTTTGCAGCTGCGAAATCGTCGTAGCCTGTTGTTCTACTGGTAATGCCTGCTGCAAGAGTTGTAAGTAAAACTCGTTCTCCTTGGCCACGTCCTTTTGTTTTCTCTGTAAATAAAAATGAAAGTTATGCTCCTTACGGCTCTTAATTCTTTTATAGGATATGCGGAATTAATGATTATTCACCTGTCGCATTCTGTAGCCCACGTAACTTTTGAAACCAAAGCCTAGTGTGACTACTGGATAGCCAATGCTGTAAATAAAATATTTGTAAGTCAATGATTTACTACTGAATATCTAAAATTTCAAATGGATAGTGTCTTTGTGATTAACAAATTTTATAACAGTAAGTTGAATGTTGATGAAAATATACCAGTGTGCGGCAAATGGCCTGCAGAGATCCAGATGAAACGGCATGTGACGTAAGTCTCGCAACCGAACTGCCGCTTCTATGTAGAGAAAAAGCAGCCACAGCATCACAGTCGGCAAGCACACTCCTTTATCTGTATTAATATTTTTCAAAATAAAGCTATCACAATTTTCTGTGTAATACACATGTAATGTATTCATACAATTTTTAAAGAAATCAGAAATACGTTAAACAATTCCTGAATAATAGATACTCACCTGTGTGCCATACATACTGCACCCAAACGTACGTGCTGGCAGCAAAAAATAGCCAATGTACAGGGATAAAAAAGAAACAAATCATGTCCGATGTGAGTGCAATGCAAATAAAAAATACAGAGAAGGCCTGAAATATTAAATGCCAAGTGTTAATGCAAAACAAATAGTTCACATTAGATTATACAGCAGAAGTATGAATGATTGTACTTCATAACTTACCAAGCCTTGATATTTAAAAGAATCGTAAACGCTTCTCAGGAGCAGCCAGAATGGCCACAGAAACTCAAAACGGAATTCTAAAATGAAGTCTGCTAAAATCACCATAGCCCATAGCAGCAGAAACTTTAGGTAAAGCAGTGTGCTGAAACAAAAATTGACAACAAGATATCTAATTAGTTTTTAGTATTCTCTAATTTTATTCAAAATGATGTACAAGGAACTAATGATTGAATTTGTTTTTTTAGATCTTTTTCTAAAGGGATTTGAATTTATTAAATTGATAATGTGTCTAATCTACTTAATTTCATCATTTTATTAATCTCTAAACAGATGTATAATATCTAACGTCCATTAACTTCGTCAGATTTCTATTATATAACTCACATGACATTCATTTATCTTACCTTAATACTCTTTTTCTAAATAAAATATTCTATATCATTGAAAAAAAGTATTATCAGTTTCTATAATAAATACAAGGAATATACAAATTGAATGCGAATAAAGAAAAGACAAATAAGTATAAATTCCAATGTATTTAAGCAAAGAAAGTAACATATAAGCCATAAAAGCATAATATTAAATTAAGAAGCACAATATTGCATGCTGGAGTGAATTAGCTAATGACAGAAGGAAAGATCGGAATGTAACATTTTCAAAAGATCAAATAGGATAAAAAGTCAATAAGTTTCCCAGATTCAAATATTTTATTTCACCATATAAATTTGTAATTATAATAGAAAAATGAATTATATCAATTATAACAATCCTCTCCCCCTTCACTGATCTCAAAACCATCCTGACATCCAATTTATAATACTAAGTTAGGAAGCTAATAATATAAAATAAAATACTAAATCATCCCATAAAAGTTGTCAAAAACTGAAATGGAAGTATCATGAAATGAAATCGTGCAGCTACGACGAAAAGTTTGTGAAAGAAGTGTAAAGACGTAATGTAAATGAGCAAAACACAGTCAGTCAAGAGTGAAACATGCATGGAATCACGTTCGTTAGTTGCCTAGTAAGAAGACATATAGAAAAATACACAAGCACTGGCACGATCTACGCAGTAGAGGATTCGTAAACGGATCATACGGACGATTCATTTGGGTTGTTCCTGAAGTTTTTGGTTATTCTTAAGATCGGCCATTGTGATGCACACGGAGTCACACATATGGCAAGGCCTGAGGAATTTACCTTCCGTAGATGCCTTCCGTGATCTTGTTGCGCTTCAAGGGCCTCCGGAGCTTACCACACTCGACATTTCTTCTCTTCATATTCCTCAGCACTGGCACCGCGGCTAACGCGAGTTAACGCGGCGTCAAACGGTCAAACGGCCGTGCTGCTGTGCTGCTGTCGAAAATGAAACAAAAACGACGAATTGCGGCAAAACGCGCGCGCGTGCTACGTTGAGAAACCCACTCGTACCGACGACGACACTATCAATCTCTTTTGTTGTCATTCGTCTGTGGACAGATCCGAAGTTTCACGGCGAATTACCGAGCAGCTGATTGGTCCATCACGCGACATGGCGCTTTTATCGGACACGGCAACTTCTCAGCCTTCACAGAAAATCACCAAAGATGTAACCCTCTCTCTCTGTCTCTAATTTAGTCCTTCCGTTCACTCTCGCTGTATCCTCCTTCCTCTCTCTGAAGACACACACTTCCTCACTCTCTCTCTCTCTCTCTCTCTCCCCTCTCCCTGTTTAAAACAGCTCTCACATTAACTCCTTAATACTTTCGCTCGCGATATTGAGTCCCCCGAGACACGTGTGATCACGTATAAAGACCCTTCCTGACCCGGGGACGATTTAACATCACCTGCTACAGCGAGATTCAGGGTTTTCGAACCTTTATCGATCGCTGAATGTCTCGTGCGCCCGACGCCTTCTTGCCTGTCACTGGCTGCCTTTTAACAGACACACTTCGCCTGTCTGTGCCAGCTGTGACTGTACTTCAGACTCCGATATATTCTAGGGAAAACTGTAACCAGAGATGAGTAGACAGATTGTTAAGGAGCCGATTTTCGCGGTCCAAGTCATGATACAAATAGACGAGGTATAGTTACTAGCGGTTCTGCGCATTCGGTCAGTGGCGTCACTGGACCCTCTCTACTCTGATTGGCTGACTTTACGTATGAGTATATCACACGGCAACATCAACTCCATATTGAGGGGCCATCTTCTTACGAACAAAAACATAAATAAGTCCTCTCAAAGTAAAACTGATGTCGCTTTGAACGTGACGTCATTGGTCTCTGCGCGATCTTAACGAAAATACGATCGCTAGTGGCTATACCTCGTCTATTTCCATCATGGTCCAAATTTTATTTCGGCCTCGAAATGCCACCTGGACGGAGGAGCCTCGAACCAGTCCCACGTTTGTGATTGGTCGAATGTATTCCTAAGTAAATCCCAAAGGTGGGTACCTAATAACAGAAATGTTTCCCGATTTCTTTACCATAGTGATTGAACAGCACACGTGCATGATGTTTTGATTAGCGCGCAAGAGTCTCGGGGTTCAGGACTTGGTCATTTCTTTGTTTTGTACTGATTCGATCACTATGTTAATTGGTTTTTTTAACTACCTTTGGATTTATTAAATACATAATTATATTATGTTATATATATACAATAAATACATAAAACAGCGAGCATTTCTTCTTCTCGAGAACTCGTGAATGACAAACCGGGCAGATAAACATAAGTACAAGTATACCCCATGGCTGGTTTGCAAGGAATCAAAAAGGATGAAGTGTCATCTCCACAATACTTCAGCACGCTTGCGAGAAAAAGGATGAGAGTCCAGAAATTTCAATGTATTAAATTAGCATCTATATCAACTACCGTGAAGTATCGTGTGATACTGTGTAATATTGAGTAACATCTTGTGATAGACAACATGTGCTATGATATCGCATGTAGAGCTACTAAGACCCTTTTCCATATAAAAAAAAAGAAAAAATTGGAATTCGGAATGCTATCCTGACTCCCAATGCATGTGCATGTGCACATCATATATCGGATATCTAGCCTAGACCTATCTACTTGACCATATGCGGCCTTACCTGCGCGACAAGTTTCCCTCTCTTACTGCGCGACCTCCTTCTCTCTCTGTCTGTGTACTTAATTCCGCTATTTTCGCTGGTCTATTGCTTCTTTCGTGATATCACTTTGCTATCATAGTCAACTCCGTAGTAAATAAGACGGTTTGAACGGTGGCGTGTCGTGAGTTTGCGTCGACATCCCTTATTGCGCTCTCTAAGGGAGCGGTCACGTCTTGCTGTGTTTAATTGTGCTACTCCACTTGGCGTGTAGGTGTACTTCAGTCCACCTGGTAGCTTCAATCAGTTCTGTTGGAAACACTTTGCGCGCTGATCGACAGCGCAAATGAGGTGACCACTTCACACCCGTAGCACCTCAATTTTTGGAAAATACGTATTTTAATGATGTTACGTTGCAGAACTATTGTTAAAACGTATCAGGAACTATAGAACTCCTTGAGAACTATTTAAAAAGCCTAAAAAAATGTTTCAACAATAGCCTTTTTCAATAGTTCTCGAGCAGTTCTATAGTTCCTGATGTGTTTAAATAATAGTTCTGCTACGCAACATCGGTTAAATATTTATTAAATATACTGGTGGCATTATACGCTTCAGTGCAGGCAGGCATGAGGTGCTGGCTTTTATCATATTAAACTTACCGAGCTTACACTGTGCGCTCGAACTCAGGATTGCAGAGAAAAAAATATTTAGACTATATCCGATGAACGGCCTCGTTTTAAGCGTTGCTTTGGGAACCAGCAGTAAGTAGCAGAGAACGTATGTCCGCTAAGCTACACGTTCATGATCGTATTCAGTTCGGCTACGACGGGATACGCATTATCGACGGAGGCGATGATCACAAAATGCTGCTTCCGGACTCGCCGTTGCGATTCAGCGCCATGCTTTTGGTACCGCCTAAAACCGTAACGATGTGCATCTCCCTACTCATCTCTGGCGCTATATATCTCCTTACTCATCCTCTGTATGTACATACACACCCTCCAGAATGTCACCCGGTATATAATTACGTATGTCTCACAGAGCTCAGGAATATCATGCGTAGTATATCTGTATGTAGTTGACCACTGAAAACCGTGGGTACGCTTAGATGGCCCTCCGCTCAGGTGGCGCGTCGAGACCAAAATAAAATTAGTTCCTTGAAAATCGTCCCACTAGCAATCTCCCTTCTCATCTCTGGGATAAGTAAGCTTTATCAATTTTTAAGAGATGTTTCTCTGGATTCCTTATTGGGATTAAGTAATTATCACGTTGCATTTCATGATATAAGCGTGCCGTTTTGTTTTCTCCGCGTAACTTAGAGACAAAATGGCATCCCTGAGTCATCACTACATTTAGTTATTGTATACATGTGTACATTATTTTCTCGTTAACCGAGGATACCAGATTTAGTATATATTGAGTACAAAATTATTTGCGTTCTCTAATGAGTATTAAAGTTGCATTACCAGAAATTCATGTTTGGACTAATGACGTTACACTGTTCTGAGAGAATAGCCCAAAGCTCATTAGGTATATCCTACAAACAGGCTTAGAAACCAGAGAAATAATTCTCTATTAGCGTCATTAACGATTCTACGTATACTCCACTCCGTAAATATAAAATGAATATAGATATACCTATAAAATGATGACCATAATAATAATAATGTAAAAAGTATTATAAAAGACATGGTTTATTCGTATATCCTATAATATATAGTATATTATATATCCCAGTATATCCTTAAATATCAAACTACAAAATACAATACAGAATTTATGAAAAAGCGTCATACAACACGTTAAGTGAATAATAACAGTTAGCTACGTTTGCTATTTATCTTTTTACAAAATTCCGTCACGTCTTCTCTTTCGTAGTCAAATATGCCTTTACCTTGCCTCTCAGCTCCATGTTAATTTCCATGGAAATATTAGGAAGATCTTTGCATATTATAGATAATAGACTTCAAGCGAGTTTCATTAACTCGAAAGGATAACTTGCTAATGTCACAGACGAACATTATATATCGTGTGCACAGTTCATTAGCGACATAGTCGTTGGAGTCGTTTATCAAAGGCTAACAAATGAACACATATCTTAATCACAGGCATCATCAGATCCTCCCCCTCACATGTCCATTTCGAACTGCTCTGGAGATTCCTCAATCACAGGAATATCTAAGAATAAAAACAGTCCATTAAAAATCTATCATTAACGCACATATAATATATTTGATTTAATATAATTAACCACATTAATTACCTTTGGATATGGGACTTGGTGCCATTGTGGTAATGGCTGGTGTACCCTTAAGTAGATCCGCAGGGATTGACGGCATATTCTTGGGTGGCGTCCTGGATATAGGAGAATTTCGTAGATTCATTAGGAAAGCACGTTCGTAGACGATGCGGGTACCTGCAGAATAAATTAATAGAATTATAAAAATTATGAAAATATGTGCAATTATGAAATGTTATTTTACACATCTCCGCAAAGATTAACAATTACGTATATGACCACTTTGACCTATAATACGATTTGTATTACTCGCAAAAGTGGGACGGCATTCTTTAAAGCTTATTACGCAATGTTTTGATAGAGTTAAAAAGAGAGAAAGAGAACCATCGTTGGCCACTAGTAGTTAATTACGTCAGACTCGCATGGTAAATAAACGACTGATAGAACGACAATCGCCTAGATTTCGCGTCGCCAAAGGCCACTGCGACGATGACTTTGTGTTGACTATAATCGTTCGAGCAACCCGAGCTCACTGACGATCGCACAAAATTGAATCCAGGAACTACAGTCAAGTAGGATTCACGTTACAATTTGCGTTTCCTATATAAATTATTTTTTTAGTTGTACTGAAATTATAGAAACTAGGAACAAACTGCCGAAAGTTCTCCTTTACTACCATCAATTTCTTACTTCTATTTTGGAACGAACTTTGAATTTACCGTGGAAATATGCAAGGTTTGTAAACCCTCCAAAATAGAAAATCTTGTGTGCAAAGCTGAGAAAGCGATTTAACAGAAGAGAATGCAGAATGCCTATTTATACATGAGTATATTCTTCCACTAAATGACTCGTAGGGAGAGAAGCTTTGGGAGGAAAAAATAAAAAAACATTCCAAGCAAAAGAAAAGCACTGAGAGGAAATAACATTCGAAACAAAGTGTTTTCCCTTTTAAGTTTAAGCAGAGAGGGAAACGCAAAGAGAAGAGAGACGGAGACTGGATAGAAATAGATGACAAAAAATTGAACATAGAGAATTATGCTCAAGGATCCCATGATTATGTTTATGTTGCGTATCGAATATATAAATTAACAAATAAAATGTCTTAAAAATCATGAAAACGTATCTCAGATAGACAAAACGTCCTTCATTGCAGCAACATTTCTTGACTTTCTTATTTTTATTAATATTTATGAATCGTTAACTACGTTATACAGAGCAGAGAATAAAGTGTAAATTGACTTTATTTAATTTTTTATAAATGCCCAGAGCGTCGACCTTATTCTAATTTAGTTGATGCGGGTTAGAATATTTTCAAGTGAAAAATCACCGTTCCGTATGTGCATGATGATTTTTTGGATGAATAAGACGAAGGAAATTCGTTAAAAGTTCAGAACGATACATTAAGTGCTGAGACGAGGAATAATCATTACTCGATAAGGCAAACAAAGGTAATAATAATAATCGCCGATAAATAAATAAAGACAGGAGAGAATATTGTTGACATACTTTTAGCTGTATCTTTGTTCCTCGAACAGAGATTGGCAATCGTCCACATTATACTTTAAAATATATGTTCAGGAAATAAAGATGCCACGATAAATGGAAATGCGGCATAACCTTGACGTTCCTTATGTATTTTAAATAAAAGTTTAAATGGTCATTGATATGAAACTAACATGGCGACTATGCTATGTCTAGTCTCTATTTTCTTCATTCGCGTCTGGGACGTTAGGATTAAAATTTTTCCGTAACTACATAACTCATGAGTAAAACAAGGTCTCTCTTTAGCATTCCTTAATATTGTAACACATAATGGTTTGCATGGCATATATCAAGCGTTATCCCTTTTGATCTAATCTTAAACTGGACAATTACAACTACTCAACGTTACTTGAATCACGAAGAATTACAGTATAATCGTCTAAAATGTTGTTTAGCCATGTTCTACTCCAGTGCTCCTTTATTGAAACAGGATGACAATTAAATTTAATAAAAACATAAAATTATTTTCTTCAAGATACGATAAACGTGGCCTGAAATCGATCTACAGTAAAAATCACAATGAATTTAAATTATTTACTCTGAACAATCTCTTTTTCATAGATAAAGTTATTTCGAAGTACATAAATAATATTTAATGTGCAATAAAACAAATCCTTACATGGTTTTATGATGAATAGAAAAAAAAATAGAACTGACCTCCCGGCGTGGTAGAGTACAGAGTGCCACCAGGCGTGGAGGAATAATCCGTCGGTAACTCCTTAGGGTCATTGATGAAAATCCTTTTCGAAGGGATACTTTGGCTATGAGTAGCCTGTCGTGCGATAGGCGAAGCCGACATTGTTCCAATCACGTGAAATAGAAAATTAAAAGCGTGATGGTAGTTCAGATGAGAAACAGACGAGAATCCCGCGTCGATTCGTCGCTATTGATAGAAGTCTGCTGCGCAATTTGTCTTGAGTTCGTAGCTCCTACCACGGTTGTCGCTGGTTGCTGGCCGCAGATTATATTCGTGCTCAAAGCCAATGAACGCGCAGCGCACAATGACTGGTTGGCTAATGGTAAACGCTCTCGTCCCGTCAAAAGTAACATTCACTAGACTGGCGCCAGATACGACTCACTTGGAAAGCTTCGTAGTTTTCTGATTTTCTAGAGAGATGAAACCACGCACGTAACAATACAAAACCTAACCTGGCTTAGCAGCCACTGCGAGTCGTTCGATAAAACAAGCCGACTTTATATAGGGAGGACTTCCTACAGGCGAGGAGGAGAACATAGGCACGTAGTAGCCTAGTAGTAGGGACAAGCTAAATCATATACATTTGCTATGCATTTGTATACACATATTTTCATAGTAGTTTAGTATGTAAGATTAAGAAGCAGTGTTCAATGTTACTGCATTTATAGGATGCGTTAAGAATAATATATAGTTCAGAGTTTATTGGAAATTTATAGGAAGAGAGTATTGGGAATCTATTATTTGTATACAAATACACAGCGTAAGACGCCCACGTGTAATTTGATATATTTTTTCTGATTGTATCCATTTGTTACGTACTTCGAATAAGCGGATTTTACTTTGCCTGAGGACACATGATTAATTATGCTCTCTTAATTGCTTTATCTTGTCAACAATAGTAATGCGTGGACATATTTTTCATATTTGGACGAAAGGCACACCACCTGTAGCTCCGTTCCGTCGACACTCAAGAAACAGAAGTAGCGCCATAAAGTTTCTTCATGGAATTTCTGTATACTTTCAAGGTTAAAAATAAAATTCTGAAACTCAATGTATTATAGAATTTGTAATCTATGTCCCTAGTTAATTGTAGCGTCAAAACAGAGTCGTCAAGACGGCCTTAAAGTAAACGACAAGATATATTTGGCAGATATCGATATAGCAAAATAACAGATATAGGCAGTTCTTGCGTTTGTTTTTATTGTTAGTCTAATAGTCTGTCAATATAATTACTACTATATTGATATATGTATTCATCGTATATCCATCTGTGTCAAGTCTAACAATCTAACATATTCTTTATTTTACCCCACCAGGAAAGGGGATAAGAAATATTTTCTACCGGCAACAAATCAACAATTCCAAATTATAATTATTCACCCGGTATACAGTGCTGCGTAATATGCTTACATCAAGCAACACACTGTTTTACTAACACGTGAAAATGCACATGTGACGTCTTCTAGCTAGCATCTAGTTGGCACGCTCAAAAACATCTTCTGATAACAAGTCTATATGTATACTATTTATACAGAATTCGTGCTCGATGTCTATACCTGTGACTAGTATTATAGACTGTTTACCTTACGTAACTTGTGACAACACATCGAGAATATAAAAAAAATAAATTTAGTACCGCAGACAAATGCGTTGAATTTAGTTTTTATGCTATAACAAGTCGTTACACTTTGGATGATTGAATATAATGTCAACAGATATTCTGATTTTGAATGCGAAACTCTGCTGAAGATAAATACTATTTTCGTGCAATAACTTTAAGATTTTTATAAATATACATATGTATAATAACTGTATCAGATTCGTCAATAACCTGTCGATAAACCAGTGAAAGTTATCTTATCAATGTTTTATCGTTTTATTCTATAAGTTTTACTGCATATGAATTAGGATGTTATGTTACTCATGGTTAAGAATGTAGTCAGCAAAATGATTTGAGAACCGCTGCAGCAAAGTGTATTGCAGAGTAGAGAAAATGGCGGAGGTACGCTGTAACGATACTGAAGATGATGGTCCTTCTGAAAGAAAGAAAATCAAACTTGCTGAAGAGAAAAACTTGAAATGTACTAAAAGCGTGCACGAGACACTAGAGAACCTAAATGACTTCGAAATAAAGCGAATTTTGAAGAACAATAACGCAAAAAAGTACGTATGCATTGAAGGCTCTTTCAAAGGTCGCAACAGTCCAGCTGTTGTCACATTAGAAAAAAAAGAATTCTCAGCCGACGATTTAGAGACCGGGGCTTTCATGAAGAGTGTCTCGCTTCGAAAGCTTCATCGTAATGATATTTATGGGCAATATGAGTGCTTTCCAAATATCGAATACTCCGGTAAGTTTCATGTAAGTCATTTGGCAGCAACAGCGTATACTCAGTGCGACTACATTGTCATAATTTAAATAAGAACAGATGGGATAATTTTGTTTTGTCTCAAGGATTAAAGGCAACTATTATTCATCCAGCTACACCAAAACATATAAAAAAGTTTGAGGAACATAAATTCTATTTGGTGGACGAGACGCCGGAAGATTATTATAATATTACACTTCCTTATTTTGAGAAACAAAGTTTTTCGCTGCAGGTGGGAACTCGACATGAATAGATTTGATTTATCTGCTAATATTCTATGAACGTTACTATTACTTTAAATAATTGTTTTATTTAATAGTGGATTGATAATATTTTCGAACATAAAGCCGAACAAAACCGAGTTCTATATGAAGATCAGGATGAGGAAAAAGGCTTTGTTATGGTGCTAGATTTGAAAAGTACTGGGCAGCGTGACTCTCTCCACGTTTTAGCACTTTCTCGCAAAAAAATTCGATCGCTTCGAGATTTGAACGAATCTCATTTGCCGTTATTGAGAAATATACGCGATGTCTGCAGAGAAGTTATTAGTACGAAATATAATATATCGAAAGAACATCTTAGAATGTATTTTCATTATCAACCCAGCTATTATCATCTGCATGTACATTGTTCTTATCTAATGTTCGATGCGCCAGGTATAACATTATATTTCTTCGATAGTACATGTTATATGTCTATAACATTCAAAACGTGTAACTAAGCCTTTTTTTATTACGTAGGTATCTTCACGGAAAGGGCGCATATGCTTACAACAGTTATAAACAATATAGAGTTAATGCCAGATTATTATGCAAAAGCTACTATACCATTTGCGATTCATCGAGATAATCCGCTATTACTAAAGTACAAAGAAGCGGGAGTCATAACCGAAGGAGTTATTGATGATGTGGATTAGGTTTTGATATTTTGTGTTATTCTTTATTTACGATGGTCTTTCTTTCCTGTACCGAATAAATATGGACGAATGCGCATGTAAAAAATATTTCGACGAGTTACGAATACAAGAATTTTTTTATATATCCGATCTGTTTGTTATTATCCCTATCGAATCCCTTTTTCCATTTGCTTTTCCATATAAAGCTGAACCAATTTTAGCTTGCATGGTTGCTGAATTCTTTTCAGTTGTAAACTTACATATTTATTAACATACTTTTCTTATGAAACTAATGGGAATGTTATCCATACGTAATAAGTGGAAATGTCACACAATATGTCTCGAGGACGTATTAAACGTTAATGTCTAAATATTAGCGGTAAATTAAATTTTCCCTTAAAAGAAAATAATAAGCGGTGGTTTGTAATAAGGAAGTTTATATAATGAACATTTTTTAAAGATACTAAATCTGTATATCCTCTAATGTAAATTATTTTTTTATACGAATATGTACTTCGACTACTGTTACAAATAGGAATTCTACAGTATTCTGTCAAGAAATCTTTTCTTTGGAAAGACATCTGTCGTTTATCAAACAGATCGTGCAGTGATATATCTTATTATGGTTAATGAAATGAATTTTTGGATGCAGAATATCCAATTTTTCATTTGCCAAGCAAATTATCCTTACTTACGGACTTATTTATGAACTTAGACCCGGTGTGCTATGTCAACCCTTATATACACATCGCCTACTATACATTATATCAAATTTCGACTATAACAATAATAGGACATTCAAAAGATCTCAAGTGAACGTCATTCGTAAATAAAGTTTTCAGAAGAAAAAAGGCAATTGTAAGATAAATCCATAATGACAAGACTCTAATCTTTATAGTACTTCACCTTACGACGTGCCGTGCATAATACACGCGAATGTCCATTGTACTCTCAGCCCTATAATAAAAGCCTTTAATCAAAATATACATGGATTAATAATATATCATTTATGTTAAATCACATGGGTAAAATATGAGAGCTCATTAGCCTCTTGTTAGCTTCTCATTACGAATTATTGGGAATCAAAAAACTGGTCGGCCTAAGTATCTAAAGGTCTTACTCTACGACCATTCTTGTTCATATCCCAAATTGCAATAATCTGTCACCTCAACTTGATTATTAGTTTAGTTTACTAAGAACCAACGCTTACAACGACAGTTCCGTAAATGACTAGTACTTCATTTTTTTTTCTTTTTTCATTATGGCTAAAGACATACGAATATGTGCGTTAACCAGTGTCACTTTATGGTACGTACCTTTCGTAATTATTTTATAATGACAAACGCGATAGAAGTTATGTCAGCCGTATGTTCAAATCCCCTTAGTCGTTAATCAGTTTTTAGTACCTCATGTCTTCACTCTAGATCCAGCCTTCAAGAAGCCGTTGCGCGATTTTCCATTTCGCAGATGACCGTTGCTCTTGCCCTTACGATGTTCAAATAATACGTCATCAGAGTCCGTATCCGATTCAGACAATACCATCTTTTTGTGTGAAGTAACTATCCAAATATAAAAAAAATATTTATAAAGTTAAGGCTCGCTGCTATTTATAAGCTGATAAGTAATGTACACGTACAACTGTCATCCTCTAGATCTGGTTGTAAAAGAGAATAACGTGCAGGTTTCTTCTTGGGACGGAGCGAATGTCTTTTTCTTCCGCATATCCTTTGGCAAAGGCATACTAGTCCCCAAACACAACCCACCCAGCAGACAATCAAAGATAACAAAGCGATAATCACGTATAAAATACTCCAATCTGAAAAAGCATTATTCACATCTTATTATCAATGACTTTCTTTGGTCTGATATGTATATTGAAAAAATCTTATATAATAAACTCACCGCAATTTGATTCACTGTTTCCAAAATACTTCTGAATAAAGTTTTGCATCCAGAAGGCCTCACACAGACACTGCCTTGTTTCTTGGTCACACACGCCATGCCCTGAGAATAAGAATGTTATAAAACTGGATAGAATATGTAAAATTATTATAAGAGCAATTAATATTCTTACCAGAACAATTGTTTTGACATACGACTGTTTCCACGTTGATAACAGATAATTGTAGAAGCCCAGAATCTTGTCTTAATTTTTGTTTTAATCGTTGGACGACCTCAGGCCCAGGCATTGATGATTTTCCACCTTTCTTGTCTACGTAAAAGACTAAAACCACTCGACCAGTTCGAGGTTCAGCTCTGAGTGTGCGAACAACAATGGTAGCCTCTTCTCGGAGTAACATTTGTAATTTGACAACAAGGGAATCTTCTTGTGATTTCGTTAAAAGGTGCGTCTCGATGTTCAATGTTAACTCAATTAAGTGTAATAGCTTAGGATCTATAATTTATAATGAATTGTTATTATTGTTGGTAAAATAACGTACTACATTTCATGACAACAGGACCTACCAGGTTTCACAATCACTGATACTGTATCCTCATTACTCAAACCTTGATCATCTGTTACTTTGAGTCTGAAGACAAACCGCCCTGGCACAATATCTGTCAACTGTCAAAATATTAGAAAAACTATTCAATAACATGTTACAATTATTTACGAGCTGACCATTTTATAAAAAATATAATACCATTAACACTGGAGATTTATCAGTTCCTTCTATGATATTACCAATAGCAAGACTTGATGAATCCCGAGTCCAAAGCCAATTTACTATTCCTAAATCATCGCTTGATTGTGAGCCATTAATTATTAGTGCATTCACAGGTGCAATTACTACTTGATCACCACCTGCATTGGCCTTTGGAGGTGCATTTTTATCTAGAAAATACAAAAGTACTTGATTAATATTCTTCAAGAATGACCTTATTTATGCATATCACGTTGCAGAGGAAAATAATTGTCAATAAATTAGTCGGAAAACTCAAACAATATTTTAATAAATTAAAACATCTTAATTCAAAGTATTTTGAATGTAGGTACCCAAACGTAAAAAATGCAGCAGGAACGAAGCGACCAATCTCCCAAAGCTGTGGGGG